ATCTTAAATTAGCATAATCAATATTAGAAAGGCTAATTTGTTTTTTTTGATATTAAAAATTTTAGATTTGTACTAATCGATACCAGAGTTAAAGTTCTGAAAGTTCTTTATTCAGAGTAAGATTTTATTATTTCAATTTTATATTATGATAAATAGAAATAACAAATAGAAATGATAGTTATGTTTATTTATTTAGTTTAATTAATAATGACAATATAAAAAAGAATATAAAATATAATAAAGTTGATTCATAATAATTTTACTAAATAATTTTAATTATTGTTATCAGTTCAGTAAGTATTTTTAGATAGCTTTACTTGATTTGGGTTTTTTGGTCTTTGGTTATGCTAAATCATTATTATCAGATTTAACAATATTATTATCAAGTTGTTTTAGTTCTTGATGGGTAGGTAGGTTTTCTTGGATAATCTGATGATTTTGATTTTAATTTTGTGATGTCTGTTAAACAGTCATTTTTGATATTGAGTTAGTCTCCAAAGCTGTTTAAAGTATAGGTATTGTTGTAGTATTTATTTAAAATAAAGTTTTATAATTTCTTCATAGTGTTAGTTGAGTAGCTCTGCAAGGTGAGTTGTTATTTCTATTAAAAATATGCATGAAACTATTTGATTGTAATAACCATGGAATATTGATAGTTTGGATATTCATGTTGATGCGATTGGCTAAGATTAGAAAAATGTTTTCTAATTAGTGTTACAAATCAGTAAAATTTTTTCAATTGATTAGTTGGTTAATTATTTTTCTAGTTGGTTGTGACTAATTGATTAATCAACAAGTTGCAACTAATTGATTAATCAATGAGTTGCAACTAATTGATTAATCGATTAATCGATTAGTTGCAACTAATTCATTAAGTAAACAAATAATTTGTCAATTGATTTATTTGCAACAATCGATTAATTCTTTAGTCGATTAGTTGCAACTAATTGATTAGTTGATTAATTGATTAATTGATTAGTTGGTGTCTAAAATGTTTAATCGATTAGTTGTCAACTAACCAACTAATCGATTTTGTTAACTTTCGATTTGTAACACTATTTCTAATGTTAGAATATGTTTTCTTTTGTTAAATATATTGAAATTGGTTGATGAAGGATAGTAGTAATAGTACTATTAAGAATAGCAGTTGTAAATCAAAAATTTGACTAATATATTTGTTTTATTAGAAAGATAATTATTATTCACATTATATTTAACTTTAACCCAGAAGTTAGTCAGATCTTCAATGTAGAAATCAATAATCAAATTTTCATCTATATTTCTAACTATTTGAAAGTAAAACCAATAATTACTACACTCATTCTAATTGAGGGCATATTATTGTATTCTAATTGGGTTACTTTTATTGACATAGCATTGACCTTATGTTATTACAAAATTGGAAAGGTTAGTAATAAAAAATTATTTTTATTTTTATTTTTAATTTTTTAATTTTTTTTATTTTTTTTCTTCCTTATTTTTACTTTTATTTATTTATTTATTTATTTTATTTTATTAATTTTTATTTTATTTTTTATTTTTAAAAAAACAGATTACATTTTTAATATACTGTATAATAATTTTGGCATATAATAAATTTTCTGCTGAGATAAATTACATTTCCTTCTTTGAATAGTTCAATATAATGTATAATGTTTTCATTGATGTAATTTTGGGTTTATTATCTTTGAATTTTACAATCCTAGTTACTTCTTTTATAATAAAATTTTGAGTAATTCAGTTTACACAATTGTAAATATAACAGAACATTGATACTTTTGTGGCCATCATTTTTTTTGTATTTTTTTTTTTAAAAAAAAATAGTATTTTTATATTTTTATTTGTTTTTTTTTTAAAAAAAGAAAAAATAATAGTTTTATATTTTATTAATTTTTTTTGTTTTTTTAGAAAAAAATAGAAAAGTTTTATTCGGCTAATATGATTTGATTTTGGTGGTAATTTTTTTTCTTGAATTATATGAGATTTTTTTTATTATTAAAGAAATAAAGAATTAAGAATTTGCTTTTATTGAATTTTATCTTTAAAATTATGATTTTTACAACATTGACTTTTGATAAATGAATTCAGTTTATAAAGTAAAATAAATAATAGAATCTATTTTTGTTTTTATAATTGATACAAGTAGATGTATACACGCATATATCAATAAATATATTTTTATTTATTTGAAAAGATTAGTATTGTACACGTATGAAACTTGGAATGAATTTAATACAACAAATAGAAAGATAAATTCAAAAAAAAATATGATTAAGTAATCAAAGTTGTGACAAGCATTTCATAAATACAAAAGTAGTAGTATGATATTGGTTGTGATTTTCACTTATATTGTTTGTTATCATAATAAAGACTTTTGTTAAACCAAATTTAATTTGTTTTTACAAAAAAATTTACATAGAATCATGTTTGAAATCTCAAGATAATATAAATCTGAATCAATACAACATTTAGAGATCAAATTTTGCTCAAAGATAAATGATTACTGTAAATGGTCATATAAAATACCTTTTAATAATAGACCTTCTTTATTGTACCCAGGTTAAGAATTTATTAGAATGTAAGAAACCTGAGTTTTCTGATTAATAATTTATATTTAACCAAGAAATCATTTATTATTATACATCTGGATATAATTCAAGTTTTTTAACTAGTAGAATATAATATATCTGGGTTGTTTATGTGACTATTTACGATATTTTTATATTTAATAAATATAAAAGTTGATTTAAAGTTATAATAGTATTTTCTACTTATTGTATTTATTATGCTATTATGTAGTTAATATAATTAATTAATAATTGTAGCAGATCATAATGAAATCAGATTAAAATGAAATGGTACTTTTTTTTTGTATAACATATTATACACATGTCATGGGATTTTCTGTGTAATATGTCACGGGAAACCCTGTGCCAAGTTATATGAAAACCCCGTGACATATCATATGCAAATGTCACGGGAATGCCATGAAATCATGAGATTTTCCGTGTAGCATGTCATAGAAAACCTGTGCCAAGTTATACGGAAAATCCCGTGACATGTCACGTGTAAGTATCACGAGAATGCTGTGACATGTCACGGAATTTCCCGTGATATGCATAGAAAGTTTCCGTATAACGAAATAAGATTTTTGATTAGTAATATAAAATTATTAAGTTAAATTATAGCGATAGTCTAAAGATTAGCATTACTTACAATCGCCATTGCTCTTCTTTTTTCTGGATCTTGTCATGAGTTGAATTTGTGCTCTTCTTTATTAGAATTACCGGTAGTTTGTTGTGGTTCTTGCTTTGAACACTGAAATTATCACTGGATCTCAAGTTTATCGTGCTTTTATTTGAAGTTGTTCATTGTTCGGTAATTTAGATTTATGTTATGTTGAAGTCGTTCGTGTTTACGGTATTAAATTAGCGTTATACTGAGGTCGTTCATATGTGGTGTTTGATTTGCGTTAATATGTTCTTATTCACTTGATTTTACCGATTTAATTGTTCAACCCATTTTAGAATCTATGTTCTTATTTGAATTATATGGCTCTTCAACAATGCATCAAGGTAATATTCGGTGGTTTGAATTAAATTAACGTTGGAATATTAAAAAAAATGGTGTTTATATAATAATCTTTTACAACACTTATCTTTCAATTTCTTTTGATTTTCTAGGATTCCTTTCGCATTACGGTATTTGAATTTATCGTTATATTGAGATCGTTCATATGTGGTGTTTGATTTGGTGTTAATACGTTCTTATTCATTCGATTTTACCGTTCATCCCACTTATATTCTTATTTGGATTATATAGCTTTTCAACAATGCATCAAGGTAATATTCGGTGGTTTGAATTAGATTAGCGTTGGAATATTAAAAAAATAGAGTTTATATAATAATTTTCACAACACTTATCTTTCAATTTCTCTTTTGATTTTCTAGGATTCCTTTGTATTACGGTATTTAAATTTAGCGTTATATTGAGGTCGTTCATATGTGGTATTTGATTTGGTGTTAATATGTTTTTATTCATTCGATTTTACTGGTTTAATCGTTCATCCCACTTATGTTCTTATTTGGATTATATAGCTCTTCAACAATGCATCAAGGTAATATTCAGTGGTTTGAATTAGATTAGCATTGGAATATTTTAAAAATAAAGTTTATATAATAATTTTCACAACACTTATCTTTCAATTTCTCTTGATTTTCTAGGATTCTTTTCATGTTATGGTATTTGAATTTAGCGTTATATTGAGGTTATTCATATGTGGTGTTTGATTTGGTATTAATACGTTCTTATTCATTCGATTTTACCAGTTTAATCGTTCATCCCACTTATGTTCTTATTTGGATTATATAGCTTTTCAACAATGCATCAAGGTAATATTCGGTGGTTTGAATTAGATTAGCATTGGAATATTAAAAAAATAGAGTTTATATAATAATTTTTCACAACACTTATCTTTCAATTTCTCTTTTGATTTTCTAGGATTCCTTTCGCGTTATGTATTTGAATTTAGTGTTATATTGAGGTCATTCATTTGTAGTGTTTGATTTGGTGTTAATATGTTCTTATTCATTCGATTTTACTAGTTTAATTGTTCATCCCACTTATGTTCTTATTTAGATTATATGGCTCTTCAACGATGCATTAAGGTAATATTCGTTGGTTTGAATTAGATTAGTGTTGGAATATTAAAAAAAATAGAGTTTATATAATAATTTTTCACAACACTTATCTTTCAATTTCTCTTTTGATTTTCTAGGATTCCTTTCACTATTAGATAATTATATCACTACGTTAGTTCTTTATCAAATGGTATGCTTCTCATACATTGAAGATGCTTTTTTATACTAAACTTACCATCAGTTTATGCTTATTGAAATGATTGTTAGTTGGTATATCTCTTGTGCCTAATTACCTGTCGAAGCTGTATGTTGTACCTTTTTCCTGTTAAAGTTATCACATATTATAAAAAATCTGCCAATATGGGTTCTAAAGCAGCAATGAATAATGTTGCACGTTGTTATCGATATGATACCAGAGATATTCAGAAAGCAAATTATTGGTTTAGAAAATATAAAAGTCTTTTGGAAACTAATAAATCGTCAGATCATGCCACCAGTATGTTATTTCACCATTAAAGTCTTATTAATTGTCATTGATAATGTATCACAATTCTCACCTGTCAGTTTTACATATTTCTTACTCTTATTACAGTCGTTGCTATCATCAGTATGCCGTTACTATTTTATTGTTAAAGTTATATTATTGTTAAATTACATTTTTTATTGATATCACACTTCTTACCTATCATACTTCTTACTTGTTAAGGCTGTGTTGTTCATAGTAAGTTTTTAACTTTCGCCCGTCGGTGCCATTTCCAACAGTGGCAAGTCGTTGTCTCTTAATATTATCACCACAAGTAAGTGATATTTTTTACGTTATGCTTTAAATCGTGTTAATTGATAACATACATTTTTCACTTTTCTATGTTATACTTAGTTTTTTTTTTTCGCCAAAGTCGTCGCCATTATCGAAGTTGTTACTACCTGTCGAGTCAAAAATCAAAAAAAAAAACATAAAGTTCAAATCAAAATTAAAAATCAAAAAAAAAAAAAAAAAAAATGCAAAATTAAAATCAAAATTAAAAGAATCAAATAAACCATGAGGTTATAATTATATCGTACATGTTATGATTTCATATATTATGTATTTGAATTCGCACTAGACCAGATTTGTATGCACCGGACTAGATCCTACACGCTGAACTGGATCCTACGTGCCCGGACCTGATTTGTATGTGCTAGGCCATGTAAATATAAAAATTTGACTTTAGGATTTATAAATTTCTTCACTTTATTCACTAACTTTCTACTTGTTTATCGAATTTCTAATCGTTCATTAACTTTAATTTAGCTATCAAATTTCATTATTATTCTACCTTGGCTGTGCTTTTCGTGCTGCAGTTTTTATATAATATAAGTAAAAAGAGTTTGTGATTTAAATAAATTTTTTCTTTTTAATTAATTTTCTATATAATTAAGATATTAAAATTTTATCTTCAATTAGTCTTGGTCATTCTTCCTGTATTGCGGTTTCACATGTGTAAGTAGAAAATTTGATTTAAAAGGTTTAAATTTTTTTTTTTACCTTATTATATTAACTTTCTACTACTTTGAATTTTATATAATCCAGATATCAGATTTTTACTTTCATTTAGTCTTGGCCGGGCTTCTTGCGCTGCAATTTTCGTGGCATGTAAGTAGAAAATTTGATTTAAAAGTAAAATTTTTTTTTTTTTTTTACCTTATTTATTGACTTTTTATATAATTCAGATATCAAATTCTTATTTTCATTTAGTCTTGGCCGGGCTTTTTGTGCTGCAATTTTTGCGTCATGTAAGCATAAAATTTTGATTTCTGAGATTTTCTTTTTAATCAACCTTTTAACTAACAATTTAGTTTGCTCTTAGATTTTGTAACTATGATTAGGCTTCCCAAAATACCTGATATACCCGAGGATTTTAATGACATAGTTAATTATCTTCAACATGAAGTTGTTGCAGAAAAATACAATAGCACTCTAAAAAAATCAAATTTTCAGAGACGATGCAAAAACTTCGTGTATTATGAGCAAACTGGTTACCTCTTTTTTGAGCAATCATCAAAAGGTGAAAATTCTCCGCTTATTAAAAAGCGGGTTGTCCCAACCTACGATACTGAGCTGAGAGAAGCTCTTTTAGAGAAATTCCATGCTTGTGACGCTCACTTTGACTATCATAAAACATACACAATGATATATGAACAGCATATCGGCATCACACAGAATGAAGTTGAGAAATACGTGAATGACTGCTCAACTTGCATCCGAAATGGAAGTATCAAGGAAAAATCTGACTTAACACCTGTTGTTTTGGGTGGTCTATTAGAACATCTTCAAGTCGACTTGGTCGATTTACTATCCTACGCTAAGAAATACGACGGATATAGTTACATTCTAATATTGATAGATATATTTTCACATTACGTTTGGGTAATCCTTCTTAAAGACAAAGAAGGCAGTACAGTTCATAGTGAATTGGTGAACATTTTCAAGAATTTTGGTCTTCCTAGTAAACTTCAAGCTGACAATGGGTCTGAATTCATTACCAGTATTTTAAAAAACACCTGCAATGCATTCAAGGTAAAGCTTGTTCATGGTCGCGCCAGGCATCCGCAAAGCCAGGGAAAAATAGAAAGATTCAACCAAACGCTTGGCCAACATTTAACGAAAATGTTCTGGGATGAAGTTACTGGAGTTCAGGGTTATCGTTAGATTGACGTTCTCCCCCAATTTGTAATTGCCTATAATAAGACGCCTCATTGAGCTCACAACAAATCGCCTTACGAGGCATTTTTTGAAATGCGTGCGGTCTACAGTACACCGGCAGACATTACACTAGCACTGGCACCAGCAGATATTACACCAGCACCAGCGAACATCGCACCAGCACCAGCAGGCATTACACCGGCACTAGCAGACATTACACTGGCACCAGCAGACATTACACCGGCACAAGCAGACATTACACCGGCACTAGCAGACACACTGGCATCAGCAGACACACTGGCAGACATTACACCAGCAGACATACCGGCAGACATTACACTAGCAAACGCTTCGTATGAGTTTCACACGATGCAGGTAAAGCATGTTCATGAGGAGGTTTTACGAAATGATGAAACTTATCGAAATAAGTTGGTAATTCGTGGAAGCGTTCATCGAAGAAAATTGATGTTTGAGGCAGGAGATAAGGTTGCGATTGCTTATGATTATAATAACAATCAAAAGACGCAAAAACGAAAATTAGAACAAACCTGTAGTAAAACCAGGACAGTTGTTAGTATGTATAGCAATAATAGAATGGTTAGGGTAGATATAGATGGTGAAGTAAAAAACTTTGCTACTAAGAATTTGAAGAAACTTAGTAGATAGCTTAGATAATATGTATTATCTATAATGTCTATATAGAATAATAATATAATAAAATAGAATTTGCTATATAGATAAATAGCAAGTGCATTTAAAAGTATTAATCTTTATTTAAAAAATTAATTTTTTAGTTAAAATTTTAGTATATATGTGCAATAAATTCACGGGCTATTGCTTTAAAGATGACATTTAGTAATGATAAATAAATTTAAAAAAAATGAAACTAAGGTTGTTCTCAAGCTCCTAAGTCAATCTGCCGGAATGGGTCTGAGAGTAAATTTTAATTAGTAAAAAAATAGTTTAACGAATCGATTGTAATTATTCTAATGAATAAAACATGTGATGGTAGTTTAATACGTCAGTGAAAAAAATTTAATTAGCGGAACGATCAAGATTATTTATCATTCCAATTAACAAGAGATAGAGGCTCAGACATCCTTTTTTTTATAGGGTTGCGTTTATTGGCTGAAATTTTTCATTAATTAGAAAAATTAATTGTTCAAAAGCAGTAGTTTTTTTCGATTTTTAACAGCTGCTCTACCTTGTTTAATGTGTCAAAAGTACATCAGGAGTACGTCGAGTGTAACTCGAGTTTGCATAGGGAGAGCATTTTCCTGCCTTGCGAATACAAAATAAAATTTCTAATTATATATATAATCAGAAATTTTACTTTGTGTTCACAAAGCAGGAAAATGCTCTCCCTATACAAACTCGAGGTATACTCGACGTACCCCTGATGCACTTTCAACACATTAAACAAGGTAGGAAAAAACCACTGCTTTGTTCAAGCACTTATTGTAGACCTTAAAAATCGTTACTAGTACCAACGAATAATATATTACAGAAAATATATAAATTTATATATTTTTAAAATTTTATTTATAAATTGATTACTTCTTCGGATTCTCTCTCTATTTGATTTATTTGTCGCAGTAGGATCCAGAAAAGTTGGGTTGGACATTTTTGTTGTGCAGTAATATATAAAAGTTCGTGAGGTCTGAAAAAGAAGAAACAGGAACTATATTTTTGTTAATTCTTCGTTTTTATTTGTTTTATTTCAAATATCCCTTAAACCGTCAGTGGTTAGCGGGCATATTTGGCTGCTAAAATGTTAAAATTGTTATGTCTGATCTATTTT